ACTCTTTCCTCTCCAAAATGGTTAACCTCAGTCTAACCGTGAGAAAAACATTAGACAAATTCCTATGGAAGAGTATCTTACAAAATACAACATATTCTTCAAAACTGTCACTGTCATAAGAAACATGGAAAGATTGAGAAAATGTCACAGTCCAAAATAACTTAACAAGACATAATGACTAAAAGCACAGTGGTATCCTGAATGACACCTTGGGATAGAAAAAGAGCATTACTGGGAAAACTGGTGACATCCAGGTAAAAGTTAGATTTTAGTTCATTGTGATGTACCAATGATGGTTTCTCAGTTTTGAAAAACGTACCAGGGTTACTTAAGATGTTGACATCAGAGAAAATTGGGTGAGGGGTATGTTGTAGCTCTCTTTGCAACTTTTCTATAAGTCTAAAATTATTCTAGAATTAAAAGTCTACTTTTTGAAAAATGGAAATAATAAGTATTCTATAATTATTGTGAGGGTCAAATGAAATAATGTCTGGAAGACAGTGCTGACACAGAGTACACCTCAATAAATAGTGGTACACTGTCATGCAGTTACTTTCCCACCTCATCTCCTAGGAGCTTGTTCACAGCCTGCTCCAAGCATGTGAGTCTTGTCTGCCCTGCTAGAGACTGGCTCATTAAGATAAGGCAAGGGTTTTCCTTTTAGCACTCACTCAACATCAGCTCAGTCCCTAGCAGAAGTGCAAGATAAATTGTATCTTGACATTTTGGTATAATAAAGTATAGACCTTAACATTTTTCCACAAGTATTTCTCTGCCTTGATATAAAAGGAAATTAGTCTTAATTTCAAAATGCAGCTACCTTCCCTGTAAGAATTATCTTAGAAGTAGGGACTAGCAGTTAGCGTAATGGCTATGTCACTGGATTCCCACATAGTCGACCGCGGTTCAAGTCCCGGACCCGGTGGCTTAAACTCACGCCGGGCGCATGTGCGTGTGTGCCCAAGATCCCGAGAAGAGAATGGAGGTGAAGGGATTGCAGCGTGACCATCCCCCCTGGGGGGGTGATTTCTCGCTTTCTGTCTCTCTGTCTCTCTCTGTCTGTCTGGCGAGCGCACACGCCCTATAGCAGAAACCTCTCCAAAAAAAGAAAAAAAAAAAAAAAGAATTATCTTAGAAGTAAACAAATGCCTATTACTATTCCTGGATATTAAGACTGAATGGTCCCCACCTAAGCAAACTCCAAATCCCCATGATAACAAGGCCTATACATAGAATTTCTATGGGTGAAAAGTTAATGTTGTTTGTTTCTTCCTTCCTCTTCTCTGTCCCCTACCTAACTTTATCCTCCAGACAGAAAAATACATATAATACAGAAGGCTTCACAGGGCCCTGGGGAAATGCTCAGTTTCTCTGGATATGCATATTTCAATCACTGGAGCTCCTCTTACTTGGAGAAAAATTATCTGTTGTAACAATAAAATACCTAGAAGATAGATCCTTGGGGTTTGTGATGCTGGCCAAAGGATTGAGATATCCAATAGTACTATAAGCAAATAATTTTTTGCTTCTTCAGTACAATGGGCAATACACAGACAGCCCCCTGGGGAATACTGTGTCATTTCAGTGGTAGAAATGACTGCTGATGATTTTTAGTCTTAGCATTTCAAAGGCTATATTGTCTTATCTGTCTGACTTTGACATCTGCCCCCTTTGACCTTTACCCTGCAGCCTTCAGCATGCCAGAAGTGAATGTGGACTATAATGCCAGTTCAGAGAGCTTGCGGTGTGAGGCTCCCCGATGGTTCCCACAGCCCACAGTGGTCTGGGCATCCCAAGTTGACCAGGGAGCCAATTTCTCAGAAATCTCCAATACCAGCTTTCAGTTGAACTCTGAGAATGTGACCATGAAGGTTGTGTCTGTGCTCTACAATGTAACGATCAACAACACATATTCCTGTATGATTGAAAATGACATTGCCAAAGCCACCGGGGATATCAAAGTGACAGGTGGGTTCCTTCATGCTTTTTATATGGGCTTACCGGGGAGAGAATAACATGTAAGTTAAAAATCTAACTTCTTTAATAGAAATACTATATACCAGAGCACAAAAATTCTCTTTAGTCCTCTTCACTGAGACCTTGATCACAACTCCAATTGGGATTGCATTATATAAGAGAAAGCCTAACATAAAGATTTATAGTCTATTGGTCAAAGGTAGTGATTAGGCTCATTCTGTTTGCCTCTCAATGACTAGTCTGTGTTTAAGATTTTGAGGCTCAGGACCAGCAGTGACGTAATGGCTATGTCACTGGACTCCCACATAGTAGACCCAGACTCGGTGGCTTAAACTTGCACCAGGTGCATGTGCGTGCGTGCCCAAGATCCTGAGAGGAGAATGGAGGAAAAGGGACTGTGGTGAGGCCATCCCCCTTGGGGGGTGATTTCTCACTTTCTGTCTCTCTGTTTCTCTCTGTCTTTCTAGCAAGCACATGTGCCCTATAGCAAAAAACTCTAAAAAAAAAGAAAAGAAAAGAAAGAAAAAGAAAAAGATTTTGAGGCTCTAACTCAGTAAGACTACTTTGGTGTAGCAGTGAAGTGATCATTATTTGACATGTTTGATATATTCAGCTGGTATACTACATCCTACACCCTCTAAAGCTTATTTGGTTCTAGTCTGGCTTTGAATCTTAAGACTAGAGATTTAGACCCTGACTTAGTCTTCTAAGCCCTATGGGACAGATTCATGATTATATTAATATTGGTCCAGGATTAATCTAAAAGCTCTGGATTGAAACTGGCTTCCCAGTATGCTAGCTGAGAACAGAATAAGAAGGCACACATCGTAATCTTCCTGCACAGTGCTTTAGTCCATACAAAACAGGGTCAAGCTAGTGTCAAGAGAGACCAAATTAAGATTTTTAAGACCATCCCTAATTAGGGTTCAAACTGTAATAGAATTAGTAGGCAGAAAACATCTTGCATGTCTTAAGTGTCCTATAAATGTTTGCTGAATCTAACTAAATGAATCATATTCTTATCAGCTTATACTTTCTTTTAAAATTATACACACATCGTTTATCAGCCTTTTGGCTAAGATCAAGTATAAAATTATAGAGGGACCAAGGTGACTAAAGCTATGCTCTAAACCTCATCTTCGAGACTTCTGAAACACTCAGACAAGAAGTCATTTTAAATCTGAGGTGTGTCCTGGCGTGTGCAGGGCCCAAGGCGACTAAAGTTATACTCTAAACCTCATCTCCTAGACTCCCGAAACGATCAAACAAGAAGCCCTTTTAAATCTGAGCTATGTCCTGGCGTGATCAGGGATCAAGGTGACTAAATTTATGCTCTAAACTTCATCTTCTAGACTCCCAAAACACTCAAACAAGTAGAGGAAAGATTTTGTCACAGAATAACCAGGAACCACCACAAAGGCACAAGAAATATGAGAAACCAAGGAAATATCTCTCCCATAAGTGAAAAGAACAATTCTTCATCATCCACAGACAGTACAGTGGAACTCATGGAGATGTCTGATAGAGAATTTAGAACATTTGTAGTGACAAAACTAGACAAGATGCAAGAGGTGAGAGACAATGAACTCCAGAAGATGCAGGAGAAAAGAGACGAGTTCCAGGAGGTGAGGAAGTTCTTGCATGATCTGAAAGAGGAAATATACACCATAAAAAAGAATCAAATGGAGCTATTAGAGATGAAGGTTGTAATACAGGAAATCAAATTCTCCCTGAAAAGTATTAAAAGCAGATTAGTCCATGCAGAAGATCACATCTTGGATGCTGAAGGCAAAACCTCTGACTTAGTAAAAACAACCCAAAAAACTGAGAAAATAACCAAAAACAAATGAGAATACTATACAAGAAATTCTAGATACTACTAAGCGCCCAAACATCTAGATAATTGGTATTCCAAAAGGTGAAGAAATTAATAAGGGCATTGATAATCTATTCCACGAAATCCTGGAAGAAAACGTTCTAAATCTAGAGAGGCATTCAAATATCTAGACCCAAGAAATACAAAGGATCCCTAATAGAATCAACCCAAGAAGATCTTCTCCAAGGCACATCATAGCCAGATTGGCCAAATCCATAGACAAAGACAAGATACTAAAATTGGCAAGAGAGAAATGTCAGGTTACTTATAAAGGTTATCCCCTCAGGCTAACATCAGACCTCTCGTTGGAAACAATGCGAGCAAGGAAAGAATGGGAAAATATATTCAAAGTGGTAAGTGAAAAACAGTTTGGGGACTGGCAGGTGGCATGATGGTTAAGGGGACCAGACTCCTACATGGCTGACCACGGTTTGAATCTTGGACCTGGCAGCTTGCTTGCTCGCTCGCGCACTCTCTCTCTCTCTCTCTCTCTCTCTCTCTGTCCCTCTCTGGTCAAATTAAAATACATAAATAAAATTAAGTTAAATAAAATAATTATTTTAAAAAAAAGAAACAGAAAACCAGTTTCAACCAAGAATACTACACTCAGCAAGATCCATATGGAAAGAAAAGATTAAAAAATATTCTCAGATAAACAAAACCTGAAAGAATTTACCAACACCAGACCAGCTCTTCAAGTTCTAAAAAGAATGCTTTACCAAGAAAACTAAAAACACACATACAGAAATGAGAGAACAAAAAGCAACCAAGAAAATGACCAACTTAATGCTAGGGACGGGAAATACCAATAATAACATTGAATATTAACTTCCAGTATTTAATCAGAAAGATCGAACCACAGAACCACTGCAAATTGAACGCAGGAAAGATTAATTACATAAGACTGAGCTGGGGAAATAGGAATTTATGACTTTTGAGTAACTGTCTTTTTCTTTACTATGCTTTGTTTTCTCAATTTAAGTATTTGGCTGTCTTTTGAGCTGTTGATAGGTTTAGCAATTTGTCAAAATGTTTTTTTCTTGTTTATTTGTTTCTTTAAATGAAAACATAAACTATTCTCCCTTCCTGGCCCTTTTGGAATTAGAAAATATTTGGGAATTTTCTTATTTTATGGCAGAAAGGTTAATTGCATAAGTTCAAAATACCTGTTGCCTCGAATCAGAAATTGAAAACACTTGTTATTGGACAGGGCTTAGACTGGAATGTCATATCTGAAGATCAAACCAGAAAACTATGTATGGATCTGAGGTAAATCTCAAGTAAGCCAACGGAAGCTCTTGGAAAGATGGCCTAGTACCATGAACAGTTCTGCGTGGCAGAGAGGATTAAAATCTATATGAAAGAATTTGTACCATAAAATAACCTAGACCTTTCCAGTCCAGCATTGTCATCAGTAGAAATGGCAAAATAGCAGCCACAACGAGAGGTTTATCTTTAGGAAGACTTTGAAGGCAGAAAAAGAGACCGATCTTTGCTAGCAGATGGCATTATCACAGAATGCTTGAAAAGGTTCATGTGTGAATTGTGTGCTGGGTGTTTTCTTTTAAAAAATCTGAGTAGTTGACATGTAAATATTTTCTCAAAAATATTTAAAACCATACTGTCTCTCTGTTATAGAGTCACAAACAAAATTATAACAAGTATCCTGATAATTATCTTTAAATTCAGTTTCTTGAAATTTTGAAAGTTGTTTAATTGTCAAGAACTATGGAGTATGAGCAAAACTTTTTTGATATATAAAGTAAATGTTTGTGGAGAAATGTAAAAATAAGTAAGTATTTTTGGGAACCAGCAGTTAGCGTAATGGCTATGTTGCTGGACTCCCACATAGCCGACCGCTGTTCATATCCTGGACCCGGTGGCTTAAAACTCACGCCAGGTGCGTGTGCGTGCGTGCCCAAGATCTCGGGAGGAGAATGGAGGAGAAGGGATTGCGGCGTGACCATCCCCCCTGGGGGGTGATTTCTTGCTTTCTGTCTCTCTGTCTCTCTCTGTCAGTCTGGCGAGCACACGCGCCCTATAGCAAAAACCTCTCAAAAAAAAAAATAAGTATTTTTAAAAAGTATAAAATTATACACATATGCAGAAAGGAAAAATACCTGCAAATAATATATCTAACAAGGGATCCAGAATACCTAAAGAATTTCTACAGCCCATTGACAATAAAATCAAATATCCCAATTTAAAAATAGGTAAAGGACTTGAATAAAAATCTATCCAAAAAATGATATGCAAATGGTCAAAAAACATATAAAAAGATGCTGAATTCATTAATTATCAGAGAAATGCAAATCAAAACTACAATGATATATCACCTCACACTCATTAGGATGGCTAGTATAAAAAAATTTTTTTTAAAAGATTTATTTTGTTTACATATCATTATTATTATTTCACATGTGTTTTTGCCAGAGAAAGACAGACAGAGAGAGAGAGCAGATGAAGGCGCAAGCTGCCAGGTCTGGGATTCAAACCATGGTCAGCCATGTGGGAATTCCAATGCCTTAACCAGCACGCCACCTGCTGGCCCCCCATTTTTGATAGACAAAAAATGTTTTAAAGAAACAGAAAATAGTAAGTGATAGTATGAAAAAATTGGAAACTGTATGCTATAGGTGAGATTGTTAAAATGGTGCAACTGCTATAGAAAATGGTATGAAGAGTCTTCAAAAACTTAAAAACAGAACTACCATATGATCTAGCAATCCCACTTCTGAGCACTAGTTCCAAAAAAATTCGAAGACTCAAAAGAATACTTGCATACCCATGTTCATACAGCACTATTGAAAATAGCCAAGAGATAGAATCAACCCAAAATGTCTATTGATGGAAGAATAGTTTTTTATAGCCAAGAGATAGAATCAACCCAAAATGTCCATTGCTGAAAGAATAGTTTTTAAAAAAAAAAAAATGTGGTGAGCCAGTCTGTGGCTTGGTCATTAAGGCAACTAGATCCCATATGCCCGGCTACACAGTTTGAGTCCTGGACTTAGTGGGTTGGAAAAACTTGTTGGCCATGTATGCATGCATGCCAGAATCCTGAAAGGAGAAATGGAAGAGAAGGGATTGCAGTAGGACTGTGCCCTATGGGGGATAGTTTCTTATTCTCCCTCAGCCCCTACCACAGAGATATGGGGGCTGAGGGAGAATAAGAAAGTACCCCCCCATAGGGCACAGTCCTACTGCAATCCCCCAGCATTTTTTTTTTTTGGAGAGATTTTTGCTCTAGGGCACATGCTTGCTGGAGAGACAGAGAGAGAGAACCGAGAAATCATCCCCCAAGGGGGATGGCCAATGCTGAAATCCCCTCTCCACCACTCTCCTCTCAGGATTTTGGGAATGCACACACACATGCCTGCCACTGAGGTTCAGTCTGGCTACTCTTTTGAGTGAAAGAGATTTTTAAATGTAAAAGCTTTTGACAATCACACTTTGCCATACGGACTAAAACAAGAGAGAATAAAGAAAGAATAAGGTAGAAATGAAAGACAAAAAATCCCAGTTGAATTTAAGTTCTTGTTTCTAGCTGTTCCTGAAGACAGTTGTTCTTCCTCTCTGTTTCCATGAAACATTCCAATATCCTTTTCATAAGTCCTTCTTTTAGCTTAGGCTTCTTTGAGTTTTTTGTTTGTTTGTTTTTTTGGTTTTGGGGGGTTTTTTGTTATAAGCAACCAAGAGAGTCCCATTCTAGCAACCAAGAAAGTCCATTTCCAGGAAGAACTTTGACTGGCTCAGCATACATAGATCAGCTGTCCATTTCTGGACCAATAGGTATGTGACAGAAGGCCTTCTCAGAAGAGGAAGGAATAAAGCATCGGTCATTTAAAACAATGTGTGTGACGGGACCAGCAGGTGGCATGGTGGTTAAGGTGCTGGACACTCCCACATGACCATCCACAGTTTGAGTCCCGGACATGGTGGCTTCCTTTCTCCCCTTCCCCCTCCCTCTTTGTCTTTGCATAGCTGAGAATCCTAGAAACAAAAGATAGAGGGATGGGGCCAGCAGGTGGCACAGTGATTAAGGCACTGGACTCCCACATGGCTGACAGCAGTTCAAATCCCAAATCTGGCAACTTAAAACTCATGCTTGGTATGTGTGTGTGTGTGTGTGTGTGTGTGTGTGTATGCCCCAAACCCCAAGGGGATAATGGAGGAGAAGGGATTGTTATGTGGTTCCACCCTGGGAGGTGATTTTTCACTTTCTGTCTCTGGTAAGTGCATGTGCCATATAGAAAAAAAATCTCTCTTAAAAAAAAAATATATATATGCATTCATGTGATCAAGAGATGACCATGGTATAGTGGAAAGAATAAATTCTCTGGAGCATGTGTGCACACCCAAAATCCCAAGAGAGGAATGGAAGAGAAGGGATGTCATCATGGCTATTCTGTCTTTCTTGCTTTCCCTCTCTCTCTTTGTCTCTGTCTCTCTCTGGTCAAATTAAAATAAATGAATGAATAAATAAAGTTAAATAAATAATCATTTTTAAAAAAATAAAGAGATTTTTTAAAATAAATAAATAAATAAAATAATGTGTGTGGACGAATCAGTTCAGGTCCCAACAAAAAGCTCCAAAATGTATAACTAATGTCTTCTACTAGAAAGAGTAATAACTGAATGAAACGTGGATATTGAGCACACCTTTTATTCACTGGGCAGGTCCTTTTTCCTTACATGCTTATGAATACATCAGAATAAGTATTCCAAGCGTCAGTAGGAGGGCTAAAAGCAACTTTTGGTAACTCAAAGTTAAGAAAATAAGAGAATTCCTTTTTGCCATACGTGAAGTAGATACTTCTTACATGTTTTTTAACAATTCAGTGATGCCTTGGGATTTACTTCCCAGGTCCTCTGACTATACTGCTAACTTAGGTCATTCATTCAACATTCGGAGCACTTTAAGCCCCGTGAGATACTGACATGAATAGACCAAGAATCATAACAGAAGTTAATCACAGTGTAGATAGAGCACCTATGGGAAAGAATTGTTAATTATGACTATAGTGGATCAGTAGATAAGGTAAAGTTCAAGCTGGATTTTGAAGAAGTGGTTTTGATAGACTAGGAAGTCATAAAGTCAAGAGTTCATGGCAATGGTCCAGGGAGAAATTTTAAGGATATGAACTGTCTCAGTTACATGTCTGAGACAGTTAATATCCTCAACGAGAAAGAAAAGGGAAAAGAATTCAATATTTCTTAAACAAAATAATCTTCAGGTCTTGATTATGCAAAAAGAAGGTCAATAGAAATAAGTCAAAACGGGTTTATTATTTCTAACCAGTATGATTGAGAGGTTGGTGACACTACCAGCAAGAAAACAAAACAAAACATTAGTAGTAACTTGTATGTGGAAAAGATTACGATTTTAGAGATATTGAAGAAAACGTCCATGGTATACACAGGTAGAGATGTCCAATGCTTAGCACATTACCCAGCATATGACAGGTTTTCAGAAAAACCCACTCCACATATTTCCTTCTGTGAGAAGGGATCTCCACTAATGTAATCTTTTTAGCCTCTGCCTCCTCTGTCTTTCAATCCTTCCCAGAGAAGGAGGAATTAATTTATCTGATTAGGAGAGGCTGGAGCTCAGTAGCTCAACTCCTTCTTTTCCTTTTTCTCTTTAGTGAAGTCTCAGGAAGTATAATTCTGCGCTGCTTCTCCAAGCCATCAATTTTTCAGGGATGGAGTCTGCCCTTATAGGAAGAAGCCTGCCCTAGTCTGGTTCTATCTGTCACCTGGGAAGTCTGGGCTGCAGCTCACTTGCCTGAATACAGCTTCAACCTTTAATATCAGATATTTCTGCAATAAAAATGATATTTTGGTTTTTCAGTTACCTTGCCTTTTTTTGTCCTTCTCTGTAATTGTTACACAGCTAAGCTATGAAAAAGTGTTACTTATTAAACTCCTTTAAGTCTCAACAATAGTGATAAGAAATACTTACTGAATAATTTTGTTTTTAACTGACATATCTAGTAGCAACAACAAATTCAGATGTGGAACTCAGGGCACAGTTCAAGCTAAGGAGATAGATTTGGAAATGATCAGCATGCAAGGAATACTTAACCAGATTTGAGCAACAGTACTATTCTGGTTTTTAAGAGTACTTACTATGTGCCAGGCAGTTCTAAGTGCTTTACGTTCATTAACTCATTAATCCTTATAAGAACCCTGTAAAATAAGTTATTATTATTTTATCCCTATTTTATAGATGACAAAACTGGAGCACATATATATTGCATAACTTGCCTAAAGTCACACAACTAATAAGTGACAGAGCTGAAACATTAAATATATGAGATTAGATTTTCTAGGGAAAAAATAGAGCAAAAAAAAGGGAGATTCCACTTCTTCACTTACACCTTCCTCTACTCCAAAATGACAATATTTCCTCATCGCTTTATAGTGGTGTGATGAAAGCTAGTGATACAGAACCTGAAAAGATCACTGCCTAGAGGTACTTTTCTTTGCTAATCAGTCAAGTGAAGAAGACGGCCAGCCTGTTCCACCAAATGACCCTGAACTTTTTTTCTCTCCCTTTACAGACTCTGAGATCAAAAGGCGGAGTCACCTTCAGCTGCTGAATTCAAAGGCTTCGCTGTGTGTTTCTTCTTTCTTTGCCATCAGCTGGGTGCTCTTGCCCCTCTCCCCTTACCTGATGCTAAAATAACGTGCTTTGGCCACACAAAAACATGCAAAGTCATTGGTACAGCAGGTAAGATGACTCACAAATGGTGTGGGGGACTGCTTCTATGTCTGTGCTTGTTTTCCTAACAAGAATCAAGTGGCCTTTAGCATAGTCACAGAGAAACATTTAATGATTCCAGAGCAGTAACACTGCTTCCACCAGTACTGCAAAAGGTAAAATCATTCGTTAGCTTAACAAAGAGCATAGGCCTCACTGACAAGCTCATAGGAAAAACAATTCCATATAATTCAAATACTTATATAAAATATCTTCATTTACTCAGTAATCAATGAAGGCAAAAATATCTTATGGAAGAGAATAAGATCCTTAACCCTGACTAGATACTCTGATTTTTACTGTTATTTATAAATCATAATGACATGAACATAATCACTTACATAAATGACCTCTCCCCCAAGGCCCCTGCTGACAGGAGAGTTGGCAGATGACTCTGCAGATGACTCACCAACTAGCCCTCCTGCCGAGACTTCTCATTCTCACTTCAGTCCTCTGGCTCCAATTATTATTAGGACATTTCCTTCTGAATATTCTTCTGCATATGAGATTTCTATAAAACCGAGCTCATGAAGTTCCAGTCAACACTCCTATGTTACTCAGTGGCCTCCCAACAAGCCTCCAGGCTCACAACCTCAGAGCTATTTCTGTCTCTTCTCTGTCCTTCATGTCAACCCCTTCAGCCATTTCCCCTATGTGGTCTCTCAGACATACCCAAATCCAGCCTTCATTATCTCACACCCAGGCTAGTTATGAAACCCTATACTTGCTTCTTCCTCTGTCTGTGTTTCTCTAAAACAAAGTGTTAGTATAAATGTATTCAAACACTATTTCATCACAACTTTCCCTTGCTCAGGAACCTAGAGTAACTCTCTGGCACTGCAGTATCAAAGTTCAAGTCCTCAGCTGTGCGGCCACAGCCCTCTATCAGCTCCTCTCCCTGAGTCTTCCCCTTCTCTCAGCCACCGACTGCTACTCTCTGGCCTTATACCCTCTCTCACAGAACCTTTCTAGAAATCTCCTCTACCTTGTGGCAATTCATATCCACTTTTCTTATACTCACTACTAAAAAGCATTTCCGGGACCAGCAGATGACGTAATGGTTAAATTACTGGATGCCCATGTAGTCGACTGCAATTCAAATCCTACTCCCATGCAGTTGACTGCAGTTCAAGTCCCAGACCTAGCAGTTAGTGTAATGGCTATGTCGCTGGACTCCCATGTAGTCGATCGCAGCTCGAGTCCCGAACCCGGTGGCTTAAACTCATGCCAGGCGCGTGTGCATGCGTGCCTAAGATCCTGAGAGGAGAATGGAGGAGAAGGAATTGTGGTGTGGCCATCCCGCCTGGGGGGTGATTTCTCGCTTTTTGTCTCTCTGTCTCTCTCTGTCTTTCTGGCGAGTGCACGCGCCCTATAGCAAAAACCTCTCCAAAAAAAACAAAAAACAAAAAAAACTCATGCTAGGTGTGTATGCGTACATGCCCCAAATCCTGAAAGAATAGAGGAGGAGAAGGGATTATAGTGTGGTCCGGAACCTAGAGTAACTCTCTGGCACTGCAGTATCAAAGTTCAAGTCCTCAGCTGTGCGGCCACAGCCCTCTATCAGCTCCTCTCCCTGAGTCTTCCCCTTCTCTCAGCCACCGACTGCTACTCTCTGGCCTTATACCCTCTCTCACAGAACCTTTCTAGAAATCTCCTCTACCTTGTGGCAATTCATATCCACTTTTCTTATACTCACTACTAAAAAGCATTTCCGGGACCAGCAGATGACGTAATGGTTAAATTACTGGATGCCCATGTAGTCGACTGCAATTCAAATCCTACTCCCATGCAGTTGACTGCAGTTCAAGTCCCAGACCTAGCAGTTAGTGTAATGGCTATGTCGCTGGACTCCCATGTAGTCGATCGCAGCTCGAGTCCCGAACCCGGTGGCTTAAACTCATGCCAGGCGCGTGTGCATGCGTGCCTAAGATCCTGAGAGGAGAATGGAGGAGAAGGAATTGTGGTGTGGCCATCCCGCCTGGGGGGTGATTTCTCGCTTTTTGTCTCTCTGTCTCTCTCTGTCTTTCCGGCGAGTGCACGCGCCCTATAGCAAAAACCTCTCCAAAAAAAAACAAAAAACAAAAAAAACTCATGCTAGGTGTGTATGCGTACATGCCCCAAATCCTGAAAGAATAGAGGAGGAGAAGGGATTATAGTGTGGTCCTCCCCTTGGGATGTCTCTCTGTCTCTCCATCTCTCTGTAGAGAGTACGTGCCCTATAGCACAAACCTCTCTTAAAAACAAACACATAAACAAGATAAACACTTCCTATGGGGCCAGCAGATAGCATGGTGGTTAAGGCACTGGACTCCCACATGGCCTACTGTGGTCCAAATCCCAGAACTGGTGGCTTGAAAATCAAGCCAGGCACATCCCAAAAGGAGAATGGAGAAAAAGGGACTGAGGTGTGGCCATCCACCCTGGGGGATGATTTCTCACTTTCCATCTCTCTGGCTCTATCTGGTGAGCACATAAACCCTACAGCAACAATCCAGGGGGAAAAAATGTACTTCCTATGTCACAGCTCCCATGTACTTCACATCCCCTTGGCATGCATGTATAACTTATATTTTACACTATCTAATGAACATATAGTCCTCAAGGGCAGACAAAGATCTGTTGATAGGCTTCTTTTCATTTTTTCTCCTGTTCTCCAGCCTCTTGTTATGGCACGGTGCACAAGGCAGATTCTTTATAAGGAAGCTGCCAGTTCCCATCATTTCCAATCCTCCACGGTTGTTGGTAGAGGAAGATATCCCTGAGGAACTTTCCCTTGGGTGTCTTACTAGCAGAGGGAAATAAATCTGCCTGGCTCCATAGCCTAGTGGTTAAAGGAACTGGATCCCACATAACCAACTATGGTTCAAATCACAGCCCCAACTACTTGAAAAACACACTGGGCACGTATGAGGGCATGCCCCAAATCCTGACAGGCTGGGGAAATGGAGAAGGGACTGCAGTGTGAGCATGACGCTTTGTGTGGTGGTGGTGATAGTGGTGGTGGTGTGTGTTAAGATGCCTCCTGGCAATTAAAAAACTAAAAAAAAAATTAAATTTTTAAAAGATGGAAACATTTCTTCTTTCCTTTATTCCCCACAACACTATAAATGAGTTTGTAACAACCTACAAGTAGGTAACGTGACATAAAGCATATTTTGTTCATCTTTACCTTGTATTCCCTTACAACCATAATTTGCAGGCATTTTTTAAGCCATGGCATACATGTAACAGATGATATTCACATGCAGAACACACGGGGTTAAAAGCTGCTAGCTGCAGCTCCCTCTCTTCCTCTCTAGAACTATGGAGGAATAACAAATCGAATAAATTTTTAAAAGTAAATGAATAGATCATAATCTGAGACACACATAATTATAACTGATCATGACATTTTAGGTCACATACTCTCCCTGGCTGGGAACTGAGGCAGAAGCCATTTTTGCACCTCTACCCAAGAGCCTGCCCACATTTCATCTCTCAGTTCCTGTTTGCTTTGAGGACCTGTCTCTTCCTTGAGGCAGTCACCGGGATGATCGCCTTTTAAGGAGATATACAAGCCATCTCCCTTCCCCCAGCAACCTAGGACCATGTGGCTGTAATAGTACATCAAAATACAGAAAAACAAACCCATTTCTAAACAGGAGTTATATCCTCAGCAGCAGGGACACTCAGTTCTCAAATAAAATGTACACTGAATGGCTGTAATGGTATCTTATTGCTGTTATTTTCAGAATCCCAGGAATCTACAGAACTATTTTGCCACAAGATATGACCTAGTTTTATATTTCTGGGGAGAAATGAATTCATGTCTAGAAGTCTGGAGCGAACACACAAGAAAAAGAAGCAACAGAAGCCAAAAAACAACCCGGAGAAGACTCCAATATGAACAAGATAAATCTGTCTACAAAGACAGATTTGTTGAGAAGACAATTCATCTGAATTAGACAAGTGTGTTAAGACTAAGGAAAGTGCATGTGGAGACAAGTGCATCCCTTTTTCTCAGGGACCTCCCCTTACCCATCAAGCCCTGGGGAGTGAGAGGATAGGATGCTGCCATCTCTTGTCTCTGAATCCTTAGCTTATATTTTGAGCTGTAATGGTGCTCTGAGGACGTTCTTGGAAAGTACTGATCACAATATACTCATGTCTTATATTCCACAAATTAAACTGTATTTTATGCTGTAGGAAGCTGATAATCAGCTGCAGCTTCTCAGCGCAGAGGTGGCTGCATGTTAGAGCTAGGTCAGAGGATTTACTTTTCCTTATGATGATTCCAAAGTGCCTTGGTTTCCCCTCCCGCACCCAAAGATGTGAAAAGTGATAGTAAGTAATATTAGCACAAATGAAGTAGCTGGGTGACAATGATCTCCCAAATAATCTGAGCACCTTCTTTTTTTAACAAACAGACGCCATGTTATTTTTCAGATGATGTTGACTCCTAAATGATCCAGGGAAGGACCTCTCACCTTGTCTGTGTGGCATTATGTCAACACAAGATTGGCGGCTCCCACTTTCTAGCCTGGATGTACTGCTGTGACATCAACAGTGGTGGAACTCAGCTGAGCTCATTTTGCCCACCCAGTCCCCCAGGAAACATTTGGCAGTGTCTGGAGACAATGTTTGTTGTGGAAGCGTGGTGGAAGGAAGGATGGTGCTATGGGCATCTCTTGGGTAGAGCCCAAGGATACTGCTCGACATCCTGCGATACACAGGGCATCTCTCCACAACAAAGAATGATCCGGCCCCAAATGTCAATCATGCCAAGGTTAAAAAGGCCTGATTTAGAGCAGAAAAAGATATAGAAAAAAAGGAGAGCAAACAAATCTGTTTGCTTCCTAAAAATAGGCCCTGGCTTCTGTCTCTTTGGCTGCTGCCTCAGCACAGAGAGCCAGAACACTGTGTCGGGCAACCAGGATAACATCTTTCTTCGAACAGAGTTGACAAGGCCTGCGGGAAATTCCTGATGGGATTATCTTCAGCTCGTTGAGTTTCTAAATTCCTTTCCCTTTATTCTACCCTACAAACCAAGTTCTGTTAAGAGAGTTGCCCAAGTTCTTTCTCCAGTTCTCTCACTCTGAATTTAGATCACAGGACCCCGACTGACTGAAATTCAAATAAGGCAACAAACATGTACTTTCCTGGAAGCATACAAGACTTCTGAAAGCAGAGGCAAGGACCCTTTGAAATGAGGCCTTGAGGAATGAACTTTGTTGGAAAGGAACATTTTGTTTCCAGCCCTCTTTCCACACTTTTCCTCTGTTGATCACTGCCTCCCTGGCACTTTGAACCATGACTATATTATATTTTATAGAAAACTTGATTTTAGGGTTCTGACCATTCAAGAGAAATATTAAATATACATTTCCTACACAGTTGTTTGCCTCATTTGTCAAAGAAAGTGGGTGAGAGAGAAGATTAATTGGATTGGCCCTGTTGCCTAGTGGTTAAGTGAGCCAAATCCCACAAGGCCGAGCTCACAGTTTGAATCTCAACCCAGGTGGCTGGAAAAACATGCCAGATACACGTGTATGTGTGTGTGTGTGTGTGTGTGTGTGTGTGTGTGTGATGTGATCATACCCCATGGTGGGGATTTGGTTTTCCCTCTCTCTCTCTCCAACTTATGTGAGCACACACACACTTTGGCAAATTAAAAGAAAGGAGAGAAGATGAATTAAAAAGCCCAAAACAGGTCCTCAGTAAATGTCGAATGAATAGGTAAACAAATGGAAGTATAGGAGGGGAGTATGTGAGTATGGACCAGGTAGTCAAGTCTGTTTCTTTTTTATTTTTTTAAATTTATTTTATACAATCTTTTTGTAAAATGTATTTAATGTATTCAGTCACTATATATTACTTAGCTTGTAAAGTGAATTTACCCAACATGAATATACCTTACATCAGTCCGTTGAAGATACTATACACATTATCATCAACAGACTGCAATCCATTTCTGTGTCCCATAAATGTCTTGCCTATTGTCATAGTATAGTCGGAAAAAAAAACCTGTAAAATTAACAATTAATAATTAATGTGGTTTATTTCCAAGCCAACGGTGAGTGACCTAGGTCCGGAGAAGAGGCACACATGCCTTTTCTCAGGGTGATCATGTACAGAAGTTCCTTTTATTTGTTTTTGAGATTGACAGACAACATTTAGTGAAAAGATTTTCCATTGGTCTGGCCCAAAAAGGCGGGACATGTAGAAGCAGGGGGCTTGTAGGTTATATTGTAGGTTATAGGTGGTTTCCACAATTCTTAGTGATTGGGAGGGAAGATCTGTGTCTTAGTTAAAGAAAGGCTTAATCTACAACTCAAGGAAAAGAGAAGTTCTGTGTCTTGGGAAGAGATAAGCACAAGAATATACTGTAATTGGTTGAAATATACATCTCAAAGATACTATGCCAGGAACAGGAGGTAGGAAGAATTCTGTTAATAGAAAATAAACGGTCTGTTAATGTTTGTGGCATGACGTCCCCAGTCCCTTTTGAAAAGATTTTGGAAAAATAGGAAAAGTAGTCAGACTTCTGTCCACACTATTTTTCTCCTTAATTTCTTTCCTCACACTCTCCCCCTTCTCCCACCCTCTTTCTACACTGTGTCCAGTATCCATAACCATTTTCCATGCATCTATATCCTTTAATCTTTCAGTTTCTGCCAGAAAATGTGAACAGCCAGTATATGTTAAGTGGAGACATGCCATGTATTGCTTTCATAGCCTGACTTGTATCACTCAGCAGTAAATCTTCCATACTTATCCACTTTCTATCAAATGCCAGGATCTTGTTTTTTGGCTGAATAGTATTCCGTAGTGTATGTGTGCCACACTTCCAATCCATTCATCTGTTTGTGGACATCTGTGTTGGTTCCATGTCTTAGCAATTGTGAATAATGCCACAATAAATATAGATGTGCAAGCACTTTTCCGCCTGAGCTTTCTCCTATCCTTTGGGTAGATACCCAGGAGTGAAACTGCTAGATCATATGGTAGGTCTATTTGAAGGTCTTTGAGGAACCTCCATATTGTCCTCCTCAGTGGCTGTACTAATTTATATTCCCATCAACAGGTAGGAGAGTTCCCCTTTCATCACATCCTTGCCAGCACTTATCATTTTTTTGTTTTTTTTTAATCTTCACCATTCTGACTGGGGTTAGGTGATCTCATTGTGGCTTTGATCTGTATTTCCCTTATGATAAGGGATGTTGAATATTTCTCATATGTTTTTTGGCTGTTCGTATGTCTTCCTTAGAGAGTTGCTTGTTTAGCTCATTTTCCCATCTTTTAATTGGGTTAATCTTTTTTTATTTATTTATTTAATTTTTTTTTCCCCAGGTAAGCCGCTTGCGTTCCCTGTGTATTCTGGTTCGCAGTTCCTTATCTGAGGCATGGTTTACAAAAATATTCTCCCATCCTGAGGGTTGTCAATTCACATAAATTACTGTGTCTTTTGCTGTGTTGAAACTTCTTAGTCTGATATAATCCTACTTTTGGGATTTTTGCTGTGCTTTGTGGGCGTGGGGTCTTATTTAAGAAGTCTTTGCCTAATCAATGTCTCCCAGAGTTTCCTCAGTATTTCCCAACAATAGTTTTAGAGTTTGAGGTCTTAGGTTTAGATCTCTGATCCACTGTGAGTTGATGTTTGTTAATGTTGAGAGATAGGGGACCAGGTTCGTCTTTCCGCAGGAAGATGCCCAGTGTACCCATCACCATTTGCTAAAAAGGCTTTCCTTTTCCCATTAGATTGGCGGGTACCCTTTGTCAAAAATCAGTTGCCTGTATGTTTTAGAATTTAGCCAAGTCTAGTTTCTTGAGGAAATTCTACTCATCTTATACTCCTGGCATGTGCCCATTGGGAAATAATGATAGAAATGGGGTTAAGGCTGCTAAATGTGGGAGAATACATATAGGAGGACAAACTAATTGTGCATGTAAAAAAAAAAATCTCACTTTACTAGTAGGGAATTATCAAATCCTCATATCTTAGAGCTGAAAGAACCACAAAAATCATCTTTTCTAGTCTTTTCATTTTTCAGATAAAGACACAGAGGTTCAGGGTGAAGAATGGTAACTGGCTAGTCTCAGGTTATATAACTTATACAAGCCACACTGGTAGCTGGTAGAGGGATGCAATCTGTAGAAAATTTGATTGCCAAAGGGCAAGTTCTCAGGGGACTTTCAAAACAACTCTACCCTGATGCATTCCTAGCTTGGTCCCAATAGGCCTTTTGTAAGAAGTGATCAATGCTAAACCAAACCAAGAGAGCATAAACACTCTCAAGCCAGGTTAATTATTTGGGCTTGTCCATGAGGACACAGCAGACACATATGAAAACAGATGTGTCATATCAGCTCAATAAGTAAGAACCAGAAGATATTCTCCCCTAAACAGCTGAGGATGCTCAAACCTAGATGCCAAAGGCTAAAACATTTCAGGAGTATTAACACATTTGAGGGGAGGAAGAGTTTGTATGAAGACTTGCTTTAAGTGCACAATGACCTCAATCTGTGCATTGTTAATTGAGGGCATGCAAGGAGTAATTATGACATAATAAAGCTTCTGCCCTATGGGATACTGTGCTCTGGTTCTATTGAGGAAACATGTAATTCCCAATCTCTCTCCACTAGTGAAGTCTCCACACAAGCATTTGACTGCTCTGATTCTTTTTAAATCATTACTGTGTGCATGTATATATGTGTGGTATTTTAGACATAGTCTCACTATATCATGATCTTCATGCCTCAACCCCCTGAATAGCTGGAACCACAGAAGGCAACACTACATTCTACTCTCTCTGCTCTTGCTACATTGCCCACACTGACCTGGCTGCAAGCTCAGGTTTTCCTTCAGTTTTTCTCAGCCTATAGAGTAGCAGTGTCCAGCACTAGCTTCCAAAGATTGGCCTTGATGCTCTAATTCAAACTGTCTTACTATGCTCCTGAACTCCTTCAAACCTTGGTTATTTCCTCTTTTGTGTGACTCATTCTCAGAAATTTTAATATGGGAGGAACCAGTGGTTAGCGTAATGTCTATGTCGCTGGACTCCCACGTAGTCGACCGCTGTTCGCGTCCTGGACCCAGTGGCTTAAAACTCACGCCGGGCGCGTGTGCGTGCGTGCCCAAGATCCCGAGAGGAGAATGGAGGAGAAGGGATTGCGGCGTGACCATCCCCCCGGGGGGTGATTTCTC